TTTATGTAATAAACTAATAACCAAGCACTTCAAGTATATAACCATTCAACCATTAACATGCAAAAATTCTAAAGATTAAATCATGTAATCTAGTCTAGAAAATAATAAGCATGTAACAAATTAAAACCTAGAATAGAATAGAATTAGTATGTCAAAATTGCAACATCAATAATTTATATTTTATAACCTTAAAATTCATGCAAATCTTAGAAGGGGAATGATGAACCATACTCATAAAATAAGATCAGAGTAATACAATTCAGTATACAAATTATGATAGAGCATTCTAATTATACTATACAATTAGAGAATCACATTGTATAATTTACAATCATTGAAATAGGGAGCAATTCCGCAACAGTTCCTAGTAACATTATACAAATGTGTCTATATAAATCTATTCGATCAATTTCATAGGAAAACATATATGAGAAATCTGTTTTAAGCTTGTTGTTCAAATTTTGAAATTAAATAAATAGATTTATGAAAAAATCAAATTATATATATACTAAGAACACATGCTAATAATTACAACTAAATTTCAACAGAAATACACAAAACAATAAAAGGGTAAAGAGACGAAACCGAAGCCTGCACGGAAGCAGTTTCCTTAAAACAGATTTCGCCGCCTCACTGGTCGAGTGCTTGAGGAATCTCGGCGTCTGTCTCCCAGGATACGACGGTCAAAACCAGCTACAGCAGAAGCACTCTTTGTCTAGCTTAGCGAACAAAACAGTGGCAGTACTCTCTCACTGTAGGAACTTTCAGGCAAACTGACTTGTGAAATGGAAGTAAAAATTTCTGTGTTTGAGACTTGACAGGAGGGTCTCAATTTATACATGTATAGGGGAGAGAGGAAGAGCCTCCAACCTTTATGGCTGTTTATAATGCACCATTAACCTCTGCAATAAAGACGGGAGTTACAAACCCCATTAATGCAGGAGTTACAAACTTCATTACCTTTTTTCCATGAAGTTAACTTCATGAGGTAATTTCTCATTCAAATCTCAATGGTTTTTGGCCATTCTATCTCTGGTGTAAAGATCTCAATGCAAAGCATCTAGACACACTTGGACCCAACACAATAGATGATTGGGACCCACTTTAATATTTAATTAAAGTCACTAAAAAACCATTTTTTCCAACATGGGGTTAGTTCAATTCAGGCATGGATTCATTATGTAATTGAGGGTACACTTGTTTAATTCTTTTTTGCCTTCTTAGTGGATTGTTTTGTGGTTTTGGCTTGTGATTTTTTTTATCACAATTAGAGGCGCTCCAATTTTGGTTTTTTCACGTTAAATCGTTGTGTTGATTTGTCTTGATTGTTTGATTGAGATTGTTATTTATTTGTTTAAATTGAAACATAATCACGAATCAATATCTAGGAAATTTTTAGATTTTTCAATATCCTTATTTCCCCTCCCCCCATCCCCACCAAACTCTAATTCTAAAACACTACAATCATGCTTCATCGCTAGCACTATGTCTCTCCTTTGCTATTCTCTCTAATCGCCTCTTTTCTCCTTCCTTTTGTGACTACCTTTTGCCTTGAACCATACACTCCCACAAGTCTCTTATCGCTTCAAAAATTGATTGTGGAAGCATAGAATGGAAGGGGATGAGCTAAGAGTAATGGTGGTGGTGGTGGCGGCGATGGAGGGCTAAAAGTGGCGGAAGGACGACAAAGGAGGGTGGGTAGAAGAAAGAAAGAAAGATTAATGGGTTGTTTGAGGTGTCCTAAATAAGTGCACTTTTTGTCTTTTTGGACTAAAAAGTTGAGGGAAAAAATATGGATGTTTGGGTTAACTTTCGACCGAGATAAACCTGGCTATGCTGAGCCACAAAGTAGGCCGAACTATCCTTAGTTCGGCCCTTTCCGCTTATATTTCCTTATCTCGGTTCTCATTTGTTCAACTCATGGTGTGCTTGGACCGAACCAACGACTCTTCGACCGGTATAACTTCAAAACCGGTATACCTCTAAAGCCGATATAAATTCAAGAACGATGTACCTTCAAGACCGATCTAATTTCAAGTTGCTCTCGGACCGAAGTAGCTTAACAATTCACGAGCCGAAGTAACTTAATCTCTTTTGACCGGAGTAACTTTTATCTCCCTTGGGCCTGAGTAACTTTTCGGTCCTTTTTACTCAGTCCGTCATACTTTGGGCCATAAAGTCCATCTCACAGCTCGGCCCAATTTTTTCCAAAAATTACCCTCTCAGATATAAATATAAAGTTATTAAATTTTAAAATTTTGAAATCATTCAAAATAGAGAAAGAGGCAAAATACTAAATGTGAGTGAAACTTTTGGGCTTGAGAGTAATTTGGTCAAAAATATCCTTAGAAATTTTAGCGGACCTCAACTAAAATGTTTTGTTTGCATGTTTTTATTTTAATAAAATTTTATGTCGAGTTATGCGTAAATTGACTCGGACAGTTAATTAAAAAAAAATCTTATGTTAAGCGAGAGCTATAACTAAAATCCTCATTTAATTATCATCTTAAATGTTGTTATTGTAATGGTACAATCGACCTTACATTTTTTTGTGTGGTAAATGAAGTTTCATTAAGGCCTCGTTTAGGAACATATTTTTTTAATAATTTTTTGGCTAAAATATGATATAAAAAAAATTATTACGTTTGGGATAACTTTTTGATTTTTACAAAAAGATGTATAAAAAGTAAAGAAAAAAGAAAATCTTTGACCTATTAATATAGATTATTAATTTTTTAATTTTTTTAGTGACTTTTTAACTAAAAAAATTACTTGTCAAACGTGACTTAAATAGAAAAATTAGTAATACAATAGTCTGGGATATTTAAGAATAATGTTTTAGAGCACTAAATTGGGAGCTCTAGAGCATCACTAATGATGTGGCACAGTGGCCCCCACCAAAGTGATGTGATGTTTTGGCTTGAAATTTTTTTTTTTTTTTTTTAAGCTCATTAGAGCTATTAGTGGTCCAAAAATTAGTGGGATGAATCACCACTCTTAGACCCTTTCTAGTCACTTTTAAGTAATAAACTTGAAAGCCTTCATCCCTACAAAATCCCAAGTTTCTATAGTAAGGCATTTGTTGTGGTACCCAACAATGATTGTCTCAATAGTATGGCATTTGTTTCTTCTTCAAGGTGAGGTAGATTGAGTCCTAATGCAAGTTTCAGTCTTGAGGCCCAAAGTTTTGTTGCCACGCTAGATGCGACCTTACCTTTTACATATTACATCAAATGACAAGTACATCTAATATAAAATTATAAAAATTATAATTTATTTATTTATATATATTTTTATGTGGTTAAGTTTGACCTTGCAACCTAATAAGTTTGAATTTTTAATTTTATTAATTTAAATCTTAAATTTTTAATTTGTTTTCGATTAAAATTATTTATTTATTTTCATTAAGTAAAATCAACGAAAAAATATATATTTTAATCATTAACTAAATGAAAATGAATATTTTAGACATTTTATATACA